CCAGGTTCGTCCAGCCGTACTTATAGTACTTTATCGTGGACCCCAACAAAGGCTTGCAATAAAAGACACTTCCGAAACCACTCTCTTGAAATCTGTAGTTTCAAAACTCTCCTAAAGGAAAAAGAATGAAGAATAAATAACCTAAACTAACATATACACGAACAAAAGACAAAGTATGAACAAACCTTCTCATGAATTATCTAATCTAACTTTACAGAATATAACCTAATAAAGAACATCTCGGAATAATCACAAAATGTAAAACACATGAACAAACAAATAAATAAAGTTAAAACACACCTTGACACCTGTCTCTTATACACATCTAGANGGGATGAGCTTCTTTCCAAACGTCTACGTTATTTTTCTGACTAGAAATGGGCAAGGATGCATCAACTTGGTATGGCTTGCTTAGGATAAAATTGCTAGGGGAGTCATTAATCTGTGAATGCCATGTGCTGTTGTAAACTATAGTTGCTTTACTCAATTCTAAATCCCAACGTTCATCTTTCCCATTAACTATTCCTTTCAACAATTCAGTCAAGGTTCGGTTTGCGCGCTCGACGCATCCGTTTCCTGCTGCTCTAAATCTGGTTGAATATACATGTGCAATGTTAAATTCATCAAGTACATCATTAAATTCATTTGAGCGAAATTCCGGTCCATTGTCGGTTAACAAGCAAACAGGTACAGACAACAAGCGTGGCAAGACATGGTCACGGAACACTCTGCTAACGGTAGATGCCTTCTTATCTCTTAAAGGGGCGGTTACAAGAAATCTGATCGTTACTTTTACTGATTACTGATCGTTACCTAAAGCCATAATTATTTTAGAACATCGGTCTGGAGGTAAATGTTGAGCGGCCGAGAAGAAAGCGGATCGATAAGTTTCTCTTTGTTTATCGGGTAACGATAAGCGGCGGTCGTTTACCAAAACATGAGCACACAAAGAGCCCTCGCAGCCACATTAGACCTGTGCACCCCGGGCGTAAATCTTAGCAGAATTATAGGCGGCCATACAACGCCCAATAATCGGTGCACGGAAATCGCACATTGCTTCTGCCTTAGGAAGAAATAAGTAAAATTCCAATATCGTATTTGTAATTGACAAAGTTGAAAATACACACACTCTTTACTCTCTCACTTGGAATAAGACACACTATTTACACTCTCATTTGAAATAAGACGTCTCGAACGTTCTTCAGGCAAGCAGACGTCTCGAACGTTCTTCAGGCAAGCAGACGTCTCGAATTTTCTTTAGGCAAGCAGTCGCCTCGAACGTTCTTCAGGCAAGCAGACGTCTCGAATGTTCTTCAGGCAAGCAGATATACGCCCTGAACGTACTTCAAGTACATATTCGAGACAAGTGTACTACTACCGAAAATGGTAGCAGAAGCGGTAGCAGCGACAACGGTTACATCGTCAGTATAGCACTTACTTGTAGCAGCAGCTATAACAGCGTAACATCACCATTTAACCCTCTACCGCCGTATGTCACTCTCAGGGAACATAAATTTCAACTTAAATTATACGTAAACTATTGAGTGTAGCAACCTGAGGACGTTTGTACGCAACAGAGAACATTTTAAACTTGCCGTACGTGGCGGCAACCATCAGTGCAAGTCATTTTGCGCTCACTAGAACGTATCTTTTTTGGGAAGTATAGCGCGTGACAATATTGCTCCGGTTACTCGTGTCAGGCGGTAGAGGGTTAAGAAGTGGTAACACAGGAATAGTGGATACACAAAAAAAATACAAAACCTGGGGTTTCGAAGATCAAACTCATACCAGAAATCAAATTGCATTCACTATTTACAACGTGGACGATGCCGATCACGATAAAATCCCACAACTGCCCTGCCTACACAACAACTTGACCCCACAACTGCCCTGCCTACACAACAACTTGACCTGGCCCCACAACTGCCCTGCCTACACAACAACTTGACCCCACAACTGCCCTGCCTACACAACAACTTGACCCCACAACTGCCCTGCCTACACAACAACTTGACCCCACAACTACCCTGCCTACACAACAACTTGACCTGGCCCCACAACTGCCCTGCCTACACAAAACATACGATATGTTCAGTGTCAAAGCAACATTTGTTCTAACACTGAACATATCGTATATTTTTGCGTAAGGTAAAATAATTTTATAATTTTACTCCAACGCAACAACATACGATATGTTCAGTGTCAAAGCAACATTTGTTTCAAACAGATTTCATTGAAGATCTCTATACAACGAGCCGCGCAACAAACGACACGAAATAAAGCAAGCAAGGGCAGAAATGTTTACGCGACCAGCTACGCTTTAAGCCTGCAGAAATCCCGTGGCTAGCCTATGAATAATTCCGTGAGCTGGCAACTCGGCAAGCGGGACTCGAGAATTTGTCAACGGTATCCAACACGGCGGAGGTGGGGGGGGGGGCTTATGGCGAACACAACATCACAAATGGTTACCTTAAAATTGAATTGTGTAACAAAGAATTATATCAGAGAATCTGATCTCAAATATATCAATAAAACTTTTCAATTTAAATACTTAGACAAAACTTCACAATGGCATGAACGGCCCTTCACAGCTTGGACTTCACAGTCATCAATGACATGTGAAATCACAAGAACACTGTAAAAATCACCGTAATTAAACGGTCTCACCGGCGTTCTAGCTAGTGGTCGGCCGACTCGTTAAAAGAAACACCGCTTGGCCGTTTTTATTAAAACTTAACACTAGAAACCTGCACAATATCTGAAAAAAAAACGAACAAACGGTTTATTTTCACGTGTCGGCCGGCCACTAGAACGCCGATTTTTTACCGTTTCTTCGAACAGTGTAAGCAGGCAGTATCTTATTAGCCTAGGTTTGGCTCTCTGAAATTTACCCGAAACTTTTTGCACTCCAACTCGTCACCACTGAACCCATGAAAATAAAATCCGTTTTCGAGAGGTAACTCGACCAAAATATCCTCAAAAACAATACTCGCTTATCATGTAAATGAAACGGACAAAGAATTATAACTTTCGTAAATTATTATTCTCATAACAGGTACAAACATAAAGTCCTTTGACAAAATATACACAAATTATATATATTAGTAGAACATATTCCCAAATCCCGTACTAAATCAGCCGCGCTCGCCGCAACGAAAAGAATGTAAACTAACGGCATTATTAATGAGCAATAAGAGATAATAAACTTTTAATGTTATCACAATCTTAAAAGATAAGTCATTTGGTAACATAATCGCAACTTAAAAATCAATAAATCATAGGCTAACTCCTGAAGACATCAAATTTGCACCAGTAGGAGGCTAGCCATCTCGACCAATCACGTTATAGCTATCAAGACTCTAAGCCAAGACCTAACCCAGCAGGCATTCGGTGGTTGAATCAACGTTGAATCAACTACGCATTACGACATTGAGATCGGGGTGAAAGGAGGTTTAGAATGAAAATTGAAGCAACATCTTTCATGCAACGTCGTACTGACGTTACAATAATTTCTGTTATCTTCGATTTTAGTTTTAATGTCCTCAAGTTTAGGTGAATTATTTGAATGTGAATTTTAGGTTACTAATTGTTTGTACCTGTGTTCTAGGTTTTGAACTGACGATGGAGCTGGACTCCGAAACGTTTTCTCTTATAAGAAATGGTGAACTTTTTGGCTATTTTCTTTACTTTTAAATTCCTGGTGATATCAACATTGATTCAACGTTTAAAAATAAATAAACATTCAACGTACCAATATCGACGTTGTTTCAACGTTGAAATAAGGTTATTTTACATCCGTTCCAGTTGTGATCAGATTTCGACGTTGATCGGACGTTTAATTTTGGTTGTTCAGCATTTCAACCTGAAATCAACATTGATTCAACGTTTAAAGATTAGTAAGAATTCAACGTATCAATATCGACGTTGCTTCAATGTTGAAATAAGGTTGTTTTACGTCCGTTCTAGTTTGGTCAGGTTTCGACGTTGATCAGACGTTTAATTTTGGTTGTTCAGCATTTCAACCTGAAATAAACATTGATTCAACGTTTAAAAATTAGTAAAAATTCAACATACCAATATCGCTGTTATTTCAACGTTGAAATAAGGTTGTTTTACGTCCCTTCTAGTGTTAGTCAGATTTCGACGTTGATATGACGTTTAATTTTGGTTGTTCAGAACTTCAACCTGAAATCAACATTGATTCAACGTTTAAAAATTAGTAAACATTCAACGTACCAATATCGACGTTATTTCCCCGTTGAAATAAGATTGTTTTACATCCGTTCTAGTTTTGATCAGATTTCGACGTTGATTGGACGTATAATTTGGGTTGTTCAGCATCTCAACCTGATATAAACATTGATTCAACGTTTAAAAATTAGTATAAATTCAACGTACCAATATCGACGTTATTTCAACGTTGGAATAAGGTTGTTTTACGTCCCTTCTAGTGTTGGTCGGATTTCGACGTTGATATGACGTTTAATTTTGGTTGTTCAACATTTCAACCTGAAATCAACAAATAATCAACGTTGTTTCAACGTCAGATGCCTGCTGGGAAGGCACTTAATTGCTATTAAATGTCAGCAATCAATAAAAGAAAATCACACTAAAATGAGATTGCATGACTCGGTTGCAAAATGTAAATATTTACACATTATTAGTCAGATTCTAACTATCTAAAATACAGTAAACAAATTAAATCTTTGAATCCTGTTGAATCCTCTGAGTTTAGTCAATATTAAAGCAATGTTCCATGAAAATAACAATACGTAAAATTAGTATTTCGTCAATTTTCAAGGAAGGTAGAATTTTCAAAGAAGATTATGCAAATAGGACAATGCTCAATCATCTATAAGAATGGGAATATCACTTTGATACGGTATCCAAATACTTTTTGTTAAAATTATTTGAGTGAACTTCTTAATGAGACGGCAGTTAAAAGCTTCAACCGAGAAGAAATTTGTGGAAGTCATTTTGTCGACACCTGAGAGCGCCACCTGAGAGCGCCACCTGAGAGCGCCACTTGAGAGCGCCACCTGAGAGCGCTACCTGAGAGCGCCACCTGAGAGCGCCACCTGAGAGCGCCACCTGAGAGCGCCACTTGAGAGCGCCACCTGAGAGCGCTACCTGAGAGCGCCACCTGAGAGCGCCACCTGAGAGCGCCACCTGAGAGCGCCACCTGAGAGCGCCACCTGAGAGCGCCACCTGAGAGCGCCACCTGAGAGCGCCACCTGAGAGCGCCACCTGAGAGCGCCACCTGAGAGCGCCACCTGAGAGCGCCACCTGAGAGCGCCACCTGAGAGCGCCACCTGAGAGCGCCACCTGAGAGCGCCACCTGAGAGCGCCACCTGAGAGCGCCACCTGAGAGCGACACCTGAGAGCGCCACCTGAGAGCGTCACCTGAGAGCGCCACCTGAGAGCGTCACCTGAGAGCGTCACCTGAGAGCGTCACCTGAGAGCGCTACCTGAGAGCGCCACCTGAGAGCCACTTGTTGCTTTCAATTTCAGGTCCAGGCGGCACAAAACCATCATCGAACTCTGCCTCAACAAGCTACAAGCACTTTGGGAAGAAAATTCCATTCTTTTGAAAGCTATTTATTTTATTTATTAGAAAGTTATCCCCCGTGGTTAAGGTCTTCACCTTAATTTAGCAAAGCAGCCAAATAAATCTTTATTTAAATTGAAAGGAAAAAGAGTCCACTCTAAACTTAGACAAACATAAATCATCGAATTAGAAATATTCCATCCATATATGCGTAAAATACATTTAATGTTGAATTGTAGAACAATTTCAACATTCTGCTATAGCTTACTTCAACAAAAAACAGGAATTGTTAATCATTATTGCGGTCGAAATCTGGATATAATACTAATATAAGATGAGGCCAAGTAATAATGAGTGCCATTTATTTAATTTGAACTCAATTTCAACTTATAATGTAGTTTAAAGGAAACTTGAGCAAACGTTTCACTACCAAATAGTAACAGCAGTGTGACATTTCAGCTGAGTTCAACGCATAACTCCGAAAGAACTACCGAGTTTTCCCTTATTCCCAGATTTCATTCTATTTAAAATAATGGATGTTATTTTACGGCTGATATGTGACCTATCATTCAACGATAATCCGACAAAAATGTGGCAATAGGGAAGAGACCGGAACTGTTCCCTCATAGGATCAGAGTAAGAGCGACAAGGATATTTTAGTCGCCCATGCAATCAAGGAACCTGTCACGATCCTTGTATTATATGCTTGACGACGTACGAGCTACCTAAGCTGCAGTACAACATCCACTGCTGCTTGTAACGTTACTGTAACTTGGAGCATCCACCGCTGCTTGTAACGTTACATGGAGCATCCACTGCTGCTTGTAACGTTACATGGAGCATCCACTGCTGCTTGTAACGTTACATGGAGCATCCACTGCTGCTTGTAACGTTACTTGGAGCATCCACTGCTGCTTGTAACGTTACTGTAACTTGGAGCATCCACTGCTGCTTGTAACGTAACTGTAAGTTGGACGCGTACAGAAAAATTGATTGAATAGCGAAGGTAGTCAAAGACAACTCGGTAAACTATTGATAACTCATGAAAAGAATGACCGAGCGATGTTGCCACCGTGTAAAATACTTGTATGAATAGACGCATCAGACGTCATATTCTCCGTCGAGCGATACGTCACAACAAAAATCGAATGCTATGCGAATCAAAGCGCTCTAATTTTAGAACAGGGAAGAGGGAATTATTGATTTCGTCTCACAATTCTTGCAGCATCTGAAGACGATGATCATAGCTGAAGCATATACATATATAGGTATTAATTTCAACATAAGATTTGAAACCTAAAAATTTACAAGTTAGTCGGTTGAAGTTAGTCAACGACAGTGAACATATATCACAGCCTCAAAGCTTGCCACTCCGCGGTAAGTAGTCAGATAACAGATAAAAACTCACGCAGTTATCATGTAATTTGAATTATTAGCGCAGTTGAGGCTTCATATGCACAACTGATAATATCCTTTAATGCTGTAATAGGAAGTGTTGTCGGGAGCCAATATTATTCAGTAGATAGAACGTTTATAGATCCATGACCGTACATAACCTTGGAATTTGCAAATCGTTTCCCTAAGTTTTTATTCGAAATTTATACCAGTTCTTCCAAATAATTCGGTTAGCACGTTTAGTCTGAAGTCTTGTATATTATCTTCTTGCATCACATTGTTTGAATACCGCGCTAACCTTTTTATCTCGTACTACATAATTGTCGTTTTCATGTGCAGAAACTCACCATCAATAAATCCAATACAAAGTCTCGGATCATCTTTATTACTTTCACGGAAACTAACCCATATAATTAAATTAGTTAGAAAGCGCATGATCACAAATTAGAAGGAAGAGCATATGTCTTGTTTTGCGGCTCATATTCCCTCTACGATTTGATCGTTTTTATTAAATTGCAAAATCTTTCGAAAGTCACAATTTTTTGCACTTTTATAATTTCAGAAACTTATTTGATAATAAAATTCAAACTTCATAATTTTTCCTACCACAATATAATTTAAGTCGTCGCTTCATTTCGCTTCTTCTTGTCCCTCTGTAGTAAACACAATCTTTCTCAAATCATCGTTTATCATTATAAAGCAATTTAACCTTCAAATCAGGCCGATTATTCACCGTCTCTGTGAATGCTATGCGACAGCATGTTATCCATGCCAATCAGACATTTCTTGGCGTAAAGACAATGGAAACCACGAATTGCGCGATTGATATCTCGACATCTCGACGATATAATGGAATAATAATATAATAATTTAATGATCTGCATACGTCTATGTGAGCTTATGTGAGCTTAACAGAGGGAATTATCCCTGAGGGTCTCAAAGTGGGACTGATAACGCCAATCCACAAAGGAGGTCCGAGGGACAGACCCCAAAATTACAGACCTGTGACCTTGACCTCACACGTGATCAAGGTTTTTGAGAAGGTAGTGGTCAGGAGGCTTGTCCGACCGACGACGACTCGGAGACGGAGGACGACGAAGGCGGCGCATCAGCGTGACCTTGGACTACGACGTCCTAAACTCATCATAAGGTCATAAGGTCTTATCGCTCGCCAAGAGGCGACTTTTTTAACCGGCCACCCAAATTAAGTTCGCAATATATTTTCAACCGAAGACTCGAAATCAACTCATTGTCATTCAACCAAACACAATAAAAATTCATCTGCATATATCGAAGAAGTTTGAATGATTACAGTAACGATGCAACCGATAATTTACCAATGATGATGATGATATTTATAAGAAAATTGATTCGCGTATTTTAAGTGGTTAAAAAGGGTGTAAATATAACAGCTATGCCTACGCCATGGCATGTGAGTGCAGCTATTTATTAGGCTTATTATTTACAAGGTTTTCGTTTAACTTCTCAATAGCTGACATCGGTCAAAATTTCATGACAAACTCGAACCTCTCCATCAACTGAAAATATCTCCACACCAGTCGAATGTCATGTGACAAATAAATCAGTCAAATGAACGACGAACCATTTGTTTACGTTGAAAATTAAATGCATACGGTACTCAGCATCAAAATTAAAGTACTCAGAGCAATAACCGTAGAAAACTAGAGAACTTGCATCGAACATTTTTATAACAGGAAAAAATTATCTTCGCAATACTAAAATTATAATTTGATTCATTTATGCTTCAAATTTTGTTCTCAAATTTTTCTCCGCAATATGAGTCAGAAATATAACGAAAATAAATACAACGGGTGACACGAGAAGGAACAAAATAATAACCCGTTGGTGCCGCATAATTAGCAGGCCTTCCCGCCTAAATTATTAATGGCGAACGCGCAGCATATTTCAGTGTCGAGAGCAGAGATCGAGACGCTCGTAGAGCTGACTCCAGCTGACGGCTCCTGGCAAGTAAGGGCAAGAGTCTGGACAAGTAAAGTTCTATAAGGTCCAGGCACGTAGAGTCAAGAACCTAGACAAGTAAGGTTCTAAGGTCTCGGCACGTATAGGCAAGAGCCTAGACAAGTTAGGTTCTAAGGTCCCGGCAAGTAAGAGCAAGAGTCTGGACAAGTAAGGTTCTATAAGGTCCAGGCATGTAGAGTCAAGAACCTAGACAAGTAAGGTTCTAAGGTCCCGGCAAGTAAGGGCAAGAGCCTGGATAAGTAAGGTTCTAAGATTCAGGCACGTAGAAGAACCTTGACAAGTAAGGTTCTATAAGGTCCATGCACGTAGAAAAACCTTGACAAGTAATGTTCTAAGATCCAGGCAAGTAAAGGCAAGAGCCTAGACAAGTAAGGTTCTAAGGTCTAAGCACGTATAGGCAAGAACCTAGACAAGTAAGGTTCTAAGGTCTTGGCACGTAGAGGCAATAGCCTAGACTAGCAAGGTTCTAAGGTCCAGGCAAATGAAGGCCAGAGCCAAGACAAGTAAGGTTCTATTGTCCAGACAAGTATAGGCAAGAGCCTAGACAAGTAAGGTTCTAAGGTTCAGGCACGTAAAGGCAAGAACCTAGACAAGTAAGGTTCTAATGTTCAGGCACGTAAAGGCAAGAACCTAGAAAGTAAGGTTCTAAGGTTCAGGCACGTATAGGCAAGAGCCTAGACAAGTAAGGTTCTAATGTTCAGGCACGTAAAGACAAGAGCCTAGACAAGTAAGGTTCTAAGGTTCAGGCACTTAAAGGCAAGAACCTAGACAATTAAAGACAGGAGCATGCATTAAAGGCCTTAAGTCCGGGAAAGTAGGCATGAGACCAGAGAAAGCAAAGGCCTGCAGTTCACGCAAGCATAAAATATACAATGCTGCCTCATATTCGCCTGTTATTATAAGCCCTTTCATCAGTAGAGAACCATTGTTTTATAATCTACGGTGGAACGATGGCCGCCAATGCGCGCCCCAGGACCTTCGAACAATATCCCAGTGAAAATTTACAGACGCGGCAGCTTCTGATTTGGATTACCAGAAGCTGGGGCGACTCTAAATTTTGTTACCCAGTGAAAATTTACAGACGCGGCAGCTTCTGATTTGGATTACCAGAAGCTGGGGCGACTCTAAATTTTGTTAGGGATGTTACAGAGATACCAGCGAAGACGGCAGCGAAATGCTGGCAGTCGCGAGGAATTTTCGCAGCGTCTAATTGAATGCCAGGGCGGAGGAAGCGCTCCATGAATATGTTAACTGCTCTATAATACGCCTCACCGCAGCATGGTGCAGATACGGTGCAAAAATTGTCAGTTTACAGCTTCACGACGAGTGTCAACCTCGCATGGTGCAGATACGGTGCAAAAATTGTCAGTTTACAGCTTCACGACGCGTGTCAACCTCGCATGGTGCAGATATGGTGCAAAAATTGTCAGTTTACAGCTTCACGATGCGTGTCAACCTCGCATGGTGCAGATACGGTGCAAAAATTGTCAGTTTACAGCAGTGGTTCCCAAACTTTTTCAGGCTGGCGCCCCCTTTGGCTCCCTAGTGAATTTCTAGCGCCCTCCACAGAAAAAAAATAAAATCGTGCGCCTCTTTCTATAAAATTTAGTACGCTGCAATTTTAAAAGATAAAGGTTAAACACAAATGTGTATTTCGTAAATAGAACCCCTTTTAGTGAACCAATATGTTTTTCAGCTGTTTTAACTGTTTCAGTACTAGAAACCTAGCACGTCTCAGGCAAATTTACGGCCCGGACTTGTGGCCGGTCTCACGACCAATCTCCAAAATCAATTATCAAGTAATATCTCCCAAACTAATGAACGCAGCTCAATAAAACTTGTAACATGTATTCATTAGAACTTAACGGTGATGTTTAGCATGCGAAAATTTTTTAAATATCACCTTCATTCGTGAATTATATTGCGATACAGGCCGAAATTCGCAGTGATCAATGAATTTCTTCCTAATTACCAAACAGATTTGAATGAAATTTTGAATAAACATTCCTAACTACCAAATGGTGTTTTTTAGATTCTAAAAATTTTTTGATTTTACCTTCGTTTGCGAGATTTTGTTTTTCATTTCACCCTCATTCTTGATTTCACACTTCCTTATTCGCTTTCGTTCGCCAGTTATACAGATGTAGGAGGAAGGACCGGCTTTTCTACCGGCTGGTTTAACCAAGAGCCTTATATGTATAGCCGTATAACTCGCAAACGAAGGCAAACGAAAAAATTGTAACGAGCTAAACATCACCGTTGCTGAGGTTAGGTATTAAAATACTGAATTTCGTTGAAATCTGTTCAGTAGTTTGGAAGCAATTTCTTGATTACTGCGAATTTAAGCACGTATTTGCTGTTTAAATCACGAATGACGTACACTCGCGAACGAAGGCACAGTCGAAAAATTTTCATGAGCTAAACATCACCGTTCGGTAGTTAGGACTGTAAATTCAAAATTTCGTTCAAACCTGTTCAGTAGTTTGGAAGAAATTCCTTTATCACTGTGAATTTCGGCCCGTATATCCATATAAATATGGCAAAAACAATTGAAGGCAAAATTCAAAAAATTGTCACGAGCTTTACATTACCGTTAGGTCCTAATGAATACGGTACCAAGTTTCATCAAGATAAGTTCATTAGTTTGAAAGATATTTCTTGATCATTGAATTTGGAAATTGGCCGTGAGACCGGCCGCGAGTCCGGCCGTTAATTTGTCGGTGACGTAAACCCAGGAGAGGTTAAAAAATATAACTCTGTACAGTGAGTGACAGAGAGCGCATTTTCTCGTTGACGAAAACGTGAAGTCACGGACGGACAGACAGACGGACGGACATGGCGAGCACAATAGTGCATTTATTCTATAAATGAGAAAATGCGCTAAAAACAGATCTGGGTATGCGCTAGAAACAGATCTGAGTAAAAAACCATCGCTGGGAGTCATGTGCTGCAAGTGTATTGTACAAATCGTCAAGCAAACGTTCGAACTTCGACTTCGGACTGCCGCCCCCCTATCGCCCTTTTCTTCTTTATCGCCCCCCAAAATCTTTCCGCCGCCCCTAGGGGGGCGATATCGCCCACTTTGGGAACCACTGGTTTACAGCTTCACGACGCGTGTCAACCTCGCACGGTGCAGCGATGTGCAAACAAGTAGTGTTCCCTGCTTCGTTTATTGCATCAAAGATTCAGGGATCGAAGCTTCAGAGTTTTGAACTTGATAAATAACGGCATTGCACATGGAATAGGGAGCAAATTTGTTGCTCATGTGATATTTAACTGCGAATTTAAAATAGCATTCTGTGCCTCGAAAACCTAATAAATATTGTAGTAGGTAATCAAAATCAAAAGAATATTGTTCCAGGTATCATTTGTAAAAAAATACCATAATTAACGACCGCCTCGATACCTCCTCCCTCATGTCCAACGACAAGCCAATCAAAAGTTCGAAGCTTGATCGAAAGCGTAAATAAAATATGCTGTGCACTGGAACTGGCCGACGAACATGCAAGCTTTGGCCATCGATCTCGACGCATACGAACATTTGGCCTTCATTTCTACCTAACTTGATCATTGAATGAGGCGTCGACATATCCAACGTATAACGTTGCTACCTTTTTACGGTTAACGAGTCTCCTTGTCATACGGTTAAAAATTCCCCTCGCTTTATAGTTAACGAGCTTACTTTATTCACGATTAACAGAGTTTCCAGTTTTTCATTTATCTAGACTACCAAATAACATACGTAAGTCACAAAAGAACATATTAATTAATGATTAGTCGGTTGGGTGCAATTAAATAAATTCTAATTCACTGGAAAATACTTTTAAAGCAGGTTTGCATTTGGCGAGCATTCCAACTTAGTCGACTTTAAGCTGATTTCAAAGATGTACCATCAAGTCGTGTACCGATGGCACATAAACAAGTTTCATTATTGTATATAATTAGGCTTCGGCAGGAAAATGCGCTAGGGTAACATGAGAGTCTGAGAATCTCATGTAAACAAGCTTATATACATATACGTGTACATAAGCACGTATGTGATTTTAAGCATACCCATGACCACAACGTCAAACCCCGAAATATATGCAGCAACGGCCCCAGCAAAAGAGCGGAAATTCAAACAAGCTAATTCTGCCATCTAATACTAATACGTGTTTATAAACAGATATAGGTACATGACTATGGTTATGTATATATCTCCTAACCTAATTGTTCAGCGCTCATTCAAATGAACCTGAAGAATCACGAATACAAACAAAAATATCCACAAGTACAGTTTCAAAAAAGTACAGTTTAAATATCAGACTCCTGGAGGGTGTCATCGAACGATTCGATTGCGGAAAATTTTATGCGAAAAAATTGCAGAAGAGTATTCAAACTGAATACACAGGTGCTGATGGAGGACTTGAAATGTTATTTAATGCAAGATAAGTTAATAAAGAGTAGATCCTACGGAGTAGATAGAAGTTGCCCTGAAAGGGTTAGAACAGAAGACTAACAAGTGACACTACAATTACGAATCAACTAAAGCACACGTACCATGTAGTCGATGGTCAAGTTGGCCGGTAACTCTGTGTTGTTCATAATCGTCTTCATATTCTTCATCCAGTGTCGGGTGTTGTCTAAGACCACGATCACCGTTATCGTTGTAGCCAGCGTCGTGGTAGCCATCGTTCAGGTGTATTGTCATACGCCCCCGCGCTCGTTCGAAGAAGGTGTCGTCAGGGACAGTTTTCTGTACTCTAGGTTTGTGCGGGTCAGGTAGACGACGCCCGGTTCCTTTTTGACCCTCCGGCAAGCGTGGTTCGATAGGGTGTGTGGTGTCGTGAAGATCAACATGACGAAGATCCAAAGGATCCAGTAATCGGTGATCCAATGGACCGTCTGTGTCTTCGTGATGTTGATTAATCTGTCTGTTGTCGAGTGGATCCACGGGCCTACAGTTGTTGGGATCATGATTTCTATCGTTTGAATCGTCATTCTGATCCTGCCGGCCCAGTATTCGGTGCTGCTGCTGGAGAGGCAGATGAAGTTGGCTAGAAGAAGGGGAGCTGATCGGTTCGATGTCTACAGGACATGACCGTCGGAGTTGAAGTCGCTTGTTGGCGTGATCGTCTAGGGTCATGCTGCGACACGCTCTCGGCAACACGATCGTCGCTCGCAAAGTGCTTCTTCGTCCTCGGCGTACTTCCTCCTCTGGCGCCGATCCGAGTCTTCTTCCTTATGTAAATCTTCGGCTATTAGGTCCTGATTTGTGCACGGATGCGAAACAACGTAAATGTTTGCTGTACCCGTAAGAAGCAACTTTTCTGTCGTGATATTATGCGTATTGATTAGACTTAGTCTAAGAGCAAGTCTTAACTTAGTTCTTTCTTGTTTTTCATCAACGAACGATAATTTTCTCGACAACAGCGATGGTAGATTGGTAGTGGTAATTATGCTTAGATTTTTGAAGGAAGCATGAAGCGTTGAAGTTTGGAACCAATTGGTTGCGCCGTTTACATAGAAAAAAAATCCTTGAATCGAAAATGCACGTAAGCCTGAAAACCGTCTTTCACCCGAACTCAATTGACTGACATACAGACGGCAAATGCAGTAGACGTCTTCAAAAAAAACTATAAATATAGAAGCTTGAAGCTTGCTGGAGTCGGTGACGAGACCTTTTTCGCCAGAGACTAGGCTGTGAATCTTTTTGACGCTCGAGAACTGAGGACAAAGTGATGTCTTCGAAGTTCTTAACGAAGTGGCGTGACGATAATGCAGAGGAAATCCCTTTTCTGCAATAATACAGTTCCTCGTGGACGACTTATGACTATAATTGAGAAACTGAAATGTGGATCTCAAACTACCATTTAGCGATGACCTAACACGACACAATAACCGAGTCCAATGTACCACGTAAAGCCATGAGAAAAGGGCCTTCATGTATAGCATTTTTAGAAGAGGGAAAAACTACCAGACCTTTTGTTAGCAGAGAGGAGTGAAAGCAGGCGTTTTACTACCATCAGCGTTGTAACCTAGAAAATTCTGTGGGGTGTCAGAAAAGCCAGTCGCGTAACCACACGCTGCTGGTGAAACCTCGACAGAAATCTTGGTGTACGTCTATCGACTATTTGCATAAACCCTCACCAAATAAAGCAGTAAGTTTGTGTGGCGTATATCAAGAAACTCCATCAATGTTACGTGGACGACAAATTCTTCCGCAACCACGAGTATATTCAACCGTAGATACGAGACCTCTCTGAACATTCACTTAATGTGGCCTTCAATCGGTCAAGGTTCAGATTAAATGTTTCTAGAAGATTTATGGTATTGCTCGAAGTTTTTTAGGGGCGTATTGGGCGAGACTGCTAGGAAAATACGAATTAAGTAATATTAACATCAACAATTACCATCTATTGGACCCTAAATGTCATTCCCTACAAGATATCGATTTAAATAATAAGTGAGAGAATACGAAAGAGTTTGTACTATTGTGGGTGTAATATTAAGAAAACCACCCAGAAAGCAAATTGCAGAGTTCAACCTATGTATATATAGAATAAGATATTATTAAAAACACATTTGTTGTGCTGACTCTCTGGTAAGAACTAAGTCGTCTACGCTGATCTCGAAAATAACCCAAAAATTTTCATCACTCGGTCTCACTGTGAGTGGTCATTTCTAGGACGAACGGAGTTTCCTCATTCTATTTTTAGTAGTTTCCGTTCTTACGATCTGCTTTCGCATTAGTAGTAATAAATCCAAGTTATTATTCTGCTAGTAAAAACTGCTGCAGTGGCTTTGATACTCTAGATCGCATATAACCAATATCGTCCGAGTTTTTAACTGATGGCAAGATGAAGCTGAAGAAAATTAACCTCTCTTTCGCGTTCACAGAAAACTATGAAAGTTGGTATGGACGGCGGCTAACCAAACAAGACTCTGGAACAGTCATGCAAATCAAATCAACATCAACTTTAGGAAAATAATCTAAGAAAACAATTCTAAAGAAGCGTTCTGACCGGCGTCAAGGGCCCTCTCTATTTGCGCCGCAGCTTCTTCATAGTCACGCTAAAGTTACAGCAGAACTCTGGTACAAAGTTCACGGGTGGGCGAAGTTACATCATAATTGTGTTTGGATCAGCATCAGATGATGGGGCACATAACTTGGGGGTTCTTGAAAACGACCTGTACCGAGTGATCACGATGATTGTACAGCCATCAAATGTTTTGAAAGCGAAATAAAATTTCGAGTTAAAACTTTGATTTGGAAGCGAAATGTATAACCAAAAAGAATCTTTCGGGCTGCTGATTATTTTGAGTGGGAGTGTATCAAGCCACAAGTCAAATGATAGTAAATATCCTGGTGAATCAGTTCAATTTTTCTGCGGGATGAATCCTGTCGATAGATGTCGGGCAACACCTTGAATATTTCAAGATGAAAAATGGCATCCAAGGCCTTTGAGTTCAAGCCCTTTTACTTGTGCGCAGTTTATGCACCCGTGGAATTGGGTCTTCTAAGTTTCTGCTTGCGTACGAATGAGTCCCTTCTTTCGTCCGATTATGTTTTTCCACTGTGCGTTTGTGTATTACAAGTGTGCAATTGGACAATTCTTGTAGGCGAGCCAAAATCGACTACATTGCGCAGTGGTTAATTTTTGTCCTTGTCAACACCCACGAGGAACTTGCGGCATACGCACAAGATACGGAATCTACATTTCCACCCTTTTCCGTGAATTGTATCGTTCTGAGTTAATTTATATAGTAAATCCGTGGACACAATTAGAACCGGCGGAAGAAGAGTGGTATGAGAATCTGAAGAGCAAAGAACCGAGCGAAGAAGCCGCGAAGTAAGAAGATTGGTCAAGACCAAATAGCGCTAGGGATCGCAATCAGCCTCTGATTATGTAGGTGGTCAGCCGGTGGCCGTTCAGCTCAAATTTTCAACAGAGCTCGGAAAACAGGGAGGCAAGGGGAACAGACAGCAGAGGAAGGCTGGGGGGAACAGACAACAGAGGAAGGCTGGGGTAACAGGCAACAGAGGAGGGCTGGGGGAACAGGCAACAGAGGCAGAGGGGCGACAGAAGCGGTCGATAAAGTGGGGGGTCGGCGCCCCTACCCCGCCGTGCCCCTCTGAGGACGTTGGCGATACTGTACACGAGTGACGTCACAGCATCGCAAAACTTATTTCCAGGCAACTTCTCACTCTTCAGGTTACGCTTGTTCCGCGAAAATTATGCACCTCACTTCAAAATATCACTCTCTTTTTTCCATTTATGCTTGCGCAACCATCACTTCGTCACTAAGTGACGTCACTTCACATCATCTAACTCATTTCACTCTTGTAAAAGACACACTCGCTTCACTTATGAAACAGCTTGCTCAGTGATTAGGTATCGTGGGAAGAGACAATAATTTCCTGTTTTACACTGGGAGTTTACGGTATAAAATGCATATGTTATCTATCAAATTTCTCCAAGTCTTAGGCGTGCGTATTCCTCCAAATTTGCCAAGTTCGTGCGCAATATTAATATTCTAATGACGCGCACATCACCACTGAAAACTAGCTAAAATGTTTCAGTTGTTCTTCACCGCGATACCCACACGTCTGGCACTGCAAATTATGGTAAGGAAATTAATGGACGAGCTTGAATCAGTCAGAGAGAAGGAACTTAATTAGTTGCTATTTTAAAAACAGCTTGATTCCTAAAGAGGAAACGACTTGAATGAACTAAAGATTTGGAAACTAAGTACCTATCGGATGCTTTGCAAAAAGGGTAGATTAACCTATTGCATAAAGCTATATTTCAATATGATATAAATTGTCAGTTGAATAACCTGGTCAAGTTTAGCGTATATTTTCGAATATATTATTCGCGATTTATTTTGTTCATCAATTAGAACTCTTAGCCATCACAATGGTAAAAGAAATTAAATAAATCAAATATCATAGGACAATTATCAGTTATTATTGATCTATTGATATTTTTCATTATATTGTGGGCCTTCTATAATTTTTAGGACAGGAGCCTCGAACATCGTATAATTGAATTTGTGATCATAAGAATATGAATATATATGAAGTCTAGACGGTTGAAGGAGAGCATGGACTGGCCAGAGCTTCACGAGCTTTACTTTAAATGCTTTTAAAATGATTTGTCACATGATCTTACTAGGCTATTTTGACCAGTCTCATTCAGGTACAGTAGCAACGAACTTGAGTAAGTAATACTAAAATATTACGGATTTTTTTTAGTTTAACAAAACGAAAAAATTATTTACGCTATAAGTATGAATGAGACGTGTGAAATGGGACGGACCGGGGCGGAAGAAATTTAACACTTAGGTATCTGTATCGGTTATAATTTTCATATATCTCGAATAATAGGAAAAAATCAATTGTAATTCTAAATATGGTAATCAGAGGATTCAAAATTTTACAACCAGTGTAAAGTTAAGTTTCAACTTCATCAAGCAAATTCGTGTTACTTGAATAACCTAAACTCTTAAAGCATTTCTAGCTGTGGTACATGCGAACAACACCACCTAAATACATCCTATTTCCTAGTACCTAGCACGCGGCGATTTTCAGTGGACTTTCCCACTTGTTTATAGCCAGCGAAAGCTTAAGAAAAGCAAAGGACTGGTAGGCTGACTGCGAAGAATGAACAAGATAAAGACAAACGATGGAAAATCTTACAAATTTTCAGACAAAATTCAAAATAAGAGGCAAGTGGGTAGATCAATTTTTTATTCTAATTCACTTGTAAATCAACAATACGATAAATCTAATATATAAATTAACAGTAGGCTAGTATAAACTAAGAGGTTCAGAAACGCGACTAATGAGAAGGAAGGTAGCAAGCAGTAGCGACCTATTGGAGCTACCGGAATACCGCCAGCAAAACCAGAGGCTCTCTCAGCCTTAAGCTTTAAAACACTCATGCCTTCCTTCATCATTCATTCTCTTCTTCTCCCTGTCACTGACACTTCACACGCACCAATAGACGATTAGAATGGCTATAAGTAAATGAATTTATCGTGAAGCGTTTAGTTGGTTCGATCCACGTTTCAGAAGTTCTGATAATCTGATGACTATGAATAAATGAGAGCAGTGTTTTTTATTTTCGGGGAAAAAATTGT